GTTCTGTGGGAAGCTTCTGCCGTGAACAGAGTTACCAGGGCAACTCATAAGTACCCTGAATGAATGAAGGGAAGAGGAGGATGAGATCATTGGTGTCTTGTTTCGTTGTTGCGGTACAGAAGCCATCGACTTCCTCTCTCATAGCCAGACGAGTTAATGAGCTCCGTCCTGCTGCCAAACTCACAGGGGCTGTCCAGAGATGCACCTTCTGCCCCCACACAGGAGTGGAGAGGAGTGGAGAGGAGTGTGGAGGAGAACCGGGGGCTTATGAGTGATGCTTCAGGAAATCACTTCTCATAAACACAAGCATGAGTGTCTCTGCTTGGTTTTAGAAACGCTGTAGACGCATGGCAACAATACTGCAAAAAATCACTTTGTAATTGGTTCCAAGCAATAGTCTGGCTCGTATGGTCATCACTCATCGTAGTAGTAGTTCGCAGTTGGGGTCAGGTCCCCCATGAGTGCTATGAGAGGATTTCCAGAATAATTTCTTAAAAATTGTCAAATTAAAATGTACAAATCATATATTCAAAGTGAGGTTACATCACATAACAGAATACATTACTGATCATTATGAAAATGAATTTAGCAACTGAAAAAGGTTCGTATATTGTGAAAAGCCTCCTGCTACTGTCTTCTACACATACCTCGACAAATATACAGTACATAAGTTAGACTTATCACTCCTTGAGCCATAATCTCATCCTCATCATCATTAAATCATGTAGTAGACCACTAGAAAAATAAACTACTAATATGGCTCACTTGTTCAATAAAGGACTCTAACCCACTGACTTTACTGCACTTTTTACTGTCCTTTTTCAAAAACTTGAAAAAAAGGTCTAGTGTATTTTTGAAGACAATACTTTTCTTGTGACATTGTTCCCACCTCCCACCTCTCCTTCCTCAAAACACACTCTTCCTTTCTTTCCTCATGCATCCCGCTGTCACTGTCTAACCTCACACCAGGGGGAGTTTCCTGTGCTGAAACCAAGCCGCTCTGGATTACTTCCTGCCTGAGCCTGTTATGGGACACATTTGTTTGGTCCAGTTAGTTTCCCTCCACCCCCACTCTCTCCGCTGCGCTTCCTCCTATGGGCTGTGCGCAGATGGCTGGGGCCGGATCTGGAAGGGATCTTGGCAAAGCAGCAGTCCTCTGGAGGAAGCATGCCGGTGCACTGACCTCCTGACCCAACACTGGACGACTGCTGCCCCGGACACTGTGCGCTCTCAAGTGGTCCTCTAGTGGTCCACATGAGACCCAATGGAGACCCACCAGAGAGCCCTGGTCCAGCTGCTGTGTGCTGGACAGATGGCAGCTTGATTTAATATTGATCAAGTCACTGATCTAGCCACGGCCCTCTTTGCAACTCTCCATTCATTTCTGTAAAGTAGGACATTGACACAAAAACTTATTTAACTTCTTCTCAAGTGTTCCCTTTTTAATATTTTTTTATATCTCACATGTGTTTTTTAATGGCTGAACAATATATGTCTTACGAGAGGAAAACAACATCTCATTACATTTAATGAATGCAATTAATATCAGTTATACATCAATTCAACCAATGTTTTATTTTTATAGCACTGTATTTTTTTGTATTGTGGCACCTGTACCATAATCTTAATAATGATAATGCATTGGTTTCATATAGCACTTTTTCAGATTGACAGAAGCGCTGTGGCACCTGGTGTTCAGGCTTTTCCCTGCTTTGCTTCAGAGGTGTGATGTGCACAAACTTTGGAGCATGCATTCAAAGTTGCCAGTAGTGTCGCTTATTTCCTGTGTTTTTGTTATTTATTGTATTTTATGTTTGTTATTTTTGTATGCGCTTTTGTATGCGCCTAATGGGATAAATAAAGCAGTCTAAATCTGAATCTGAATAGGACCATGATTAAGTTAATGCCTTTTTAAAAATCGTGACGTGTTACATTGAAACAACATTTTCATATTCACCTTTTGGGTTTCAGTGAATTGTGTTGCAGTTGAAATCAATGGAGGAAAAATGAAGCAACACATGTCCTTATCTGGTCCAGAGTTCAGTTTCTGCCAAAGCACAACACTTGTATCCTTTTGCATGACACTTTCTTCAGATAATGTCTCGTCGTTACAGGTCAAAGTCAGCCATGCAGTGCATTTCAGATAACCTGCTAAATGGCCTTTGGCTTATCATTTGGATGTATTTGAGCTGGGGAAACATACAGTACTTGCTGGATTAATAAGCGCACATGTATTTAAACTGCTCCAGATATATTTGAAAAGAAAGTATGTGAGCAGTGCTTTGCAACACATCTTTTATTCCCCCAACTTTATTTATTGAACATTAGACATACAGCGTTAAGGAAAAAGGTGAAAGAGAAAACAAACAATACAGGCAACACTTCTTCTTGTCATCTTGAATATCCACCAATTTACTGAAATTTCCGGACTATAAGCCGCTACTTACTTCTAGTTCTTAACCTGCGGCTAATATATGTATTTTCATTATGGTAGATTTGTGAGAGCTTTATGAGTTGAGTTTCTCTCAAGTAATAGGATCACTATACAGGCAGCAGAGTTCAATTAACCTGAAACCGCAGATACAATAATTGTTTAAAAAAGTGTATATATTACATGTTTCTGATTAAAAAAAAAAAAGTGTTCATGACAGGCCGGTCGTGTGATCTAGACAGGGTGGCACATAATATTGATTGCCCCCAGTGAAGACTCCCTTTGTTTGATGGGAGCCCGAGGGGTGGGGGTTTGCCAGCAAGGACAAGGTTCCTATTACGGTGCGACATTGACATTGACGGCCAGAGATAACAGCTGTCCAAGTCCCAGAGGAAGTGTTTGAGGCCAGCGATAAGTGAGAAGTTCCAGAAGGCTTGTGGCTTTTCAATGTTAAGATGTGCGTTAGTGACACTGGGGACACAGGTTACAGTGTTAATCTGTCTCAGGTCATTCATTGGAGATATCAGATGTCAAAAAGTTTTCTTCCTCTTGTTACAGTCTTCAACCAGTTGTGTTATTGGCAGTAAATTTGAAAGAATTTGCTCGGGTGAAATTATATTTGTATGGCACTAAAATAGATCTGGCTTTTCAAAAAACTAGGTAAAGGGAAAAATGTAAGCCTTTCAAATATACAATTACACTTATCTGTTTTGAGGTGGATAGCACTCTCGCTTCTCGGCAAGAAGGTCCTGGGTTCGAATTCCGATCAGAACAGGGCCTTTCTGAGTGGAATTTCCATGTTCTCCCCGTGTCTGTGTAGGTTTCCTCCGGAGCACCCGGAGGAAACCTACACAGTCTAGACATTACATTGCAGAGTCTAGATGATGAGTGATTTGATATCGTATTTACCAAAATGGGTGGTATCTGAATCTTGTTTGAAAAGGGTCCTTCATAGACTTTTATAAGGAACATTTTTCTTTACATATGCTATTAGTAATTGGTTGTAAGCCTCTAAAAACAGTTTTAATGGACTACTAAGAATAATAACCTCAACCACCATTCCCGGCTTCAAATGTTTTCCCGTGTCTACCGTCATGATGTCCCCAATGTTTTTTTAATGGATGGTTGATCTGTCTTCTTGATCTGTCGCACTGCTGTTCCCAAAATTATGTTTGATTCTATGGTCTCTTGTCAACTTTGTAAAGTCCTCGAAGACCACCGCTGATGTGATTTGGGGCTAGGCAGAAATTAATTGCATTCTTGGATTTTTAGCTTTCTCATATTGGCAGAAAAGCAAAGATCATAACAAATGTATAATCATATTTCTCCCATCAGCCCCTCCTGTATTTACTTTTCATCTCTTTCTTCGCTGACTCCTCCTACTTTATGTGTTGCTCTTTTCATCCAGGAGCCGTTCCCGTAATCGCTCCCTCCTTTTGGCTTTTATCTCCACTTCCTCAATATCCTTTTTACGGCCCAAGCTTCCTTCTTCCTCCTCCTCCTCGGCCCCTCACCCTCCTCCTCCCCCTCCCCCTCCTCGGCCCCTCACCCCCCTTCTGCTGCATCTTCGCTGAGCTCATGCTTCCTTCCTTCCTTCCTTCCTTCCTGTCTTAAACTGCTTCTCAGTCACTTGTAGAGTTATATATTCACGAATAACACACTGTTGAATTTTCAAATGCTAAATATGATACACCTGGCTGCTATATTCTGACAACAATTGATCATTTCTTAATGTGGCAATCATCAAAGAAACTGGACCGTTGCTGCGTTGTTTTTATATTTATTTCAATCTTTTTTTAACAAAATAATATTAATGGAGACATATATTGCAAAACCTGTTGACCTGTTGTTTTTTAGATTCGTTCACACAAAAATCTGGCGCAAACGTGTAATGCACCCCTTCAGTCTCAGTCCTGTAAAAGCATGATGTCATGGCGATGCTCAGAGCAGTTTTCTTGCTTTTAAAAGCATGCAATTATGTTATTTATAATTGCATGGCTGTGTTTTCAGCAGGTAATGAAATAAAAACCCAAAAAAAACTGTGGTGCTGCATGTGGTGGTGGCAGCATTGTTTACCCTTCATACTTGTTTCACCCCACATTTTCTACTGAAGATTATTTTACATTCTAAAACTTGAAATGACAAAGTGAATTGTCTCATTATCATTTTCAATGGCCAGAGAGAATGCATACTACATGTTTATAAAGTTTTCATTGTAATTGCCTTTTATACTGTATGTTAGAAATGTTTTAATGTGAATTGATCCTATGTGGAATGGACCCCAGGAAGTGACCACTTGTGGAAGCAAATGGGGATCCAAATAAATTATAATAATAATAATAATAATACAAAAAACGTAACTTTTTAGAATTACTTTCATTTCAGCGCAAGTAACTGGAAGTCACAAACTGGGAAATTGCTTTGTCTCTTGGTACAAACAAGTCAAAAGTAGAAATGGGCATGCATAAAATAAAAAAATATTCACTGAGTAATACTAGTATTTTTTCAGGAATCTCAACATGTGTTACGTCTGTGGATAACTTACAGGTTTGTGTGTGTGTTGTCACAGGTTTGCAGCCGGTATACTGGAGCAGAGAGGATGTGGCCCAGTGGTTGCGATGGGCAGAGAAAGAGTTCGCCCTGAGGCCTATCACCAGCAGCTCCTTCCAGATGAACGGCAAAGCTCTGCTGCTGCTCACCAAAGAAGACTTCCGCTACAGATCGCCACACTCTGGTACCAGCATTTACATATCCCAACATCAGGTTAAACGCTAAAGCTTGAAACTTCACTTTGTGGATTTAACTACAATGATGCCAAGTGTGAAACAATTATTGAACATTCGAACCTTTAAAAATGATCATAGTTGCCCTTAATTTATTATCTGCATTGATTTGAGGAAAAGTGCCTCTTAAATCAATGTACAATTTACTTACAGTGCACATGACAAGTTGTTGCAGCAACTACTCTAAAATTGCTTACAGCTAAAGTGCTTCATAATCAATAGTTAAGGCAAAGGAACTTGGTATCACACAATGGAGTATGCACTAGGTAACTGCTTTTATCAACTATTCATAGAAACAAGCAGATTTTTCCCCATGAATTCCCAATTTTGTAGTGTTGAGTAAAATAATAAATAATTAAAATTCCTTTATTCCCCTTTTGAGATTAGTGATAAAAACTCTATCAAAAGAGTTAAAGCTGATCTCTATATTGCATACATCTTGTCTTAACATGGGCTTATAGGCAAAATACATCGTAGAATGACAAAAAACAAGCACACAGACTCTTACAAAGCAAATGAAAAGCAACTAAAACCTGCCAATGAGAGCCATTCTTTCCAATGCAGTTACTGTGCTGTCTGTATGCATGTGTTAATGTCTCTATTTATTGATTTTATAAATAACTACATGGTGGAAGTTACCCAAATGTAACCCGTTCAATAGAGAGAAAGAAGTGAAAGGGGTGTGTCTGCAAGTTTCCTGATTCTTCTTAAGGGCAGATATCCGAAGAGTCAAGTGGCATATCTGGTGATGAAGTGGCGTTTAAGAAAGAATGTCGTCTGATCACTATTGACTGTAACGCACAGTGAGACTCACGTTTCACCAAAACAGTTTACATCAATATGACTAAAATTTATCTATTTTTAAAAGAAATGTAATTCCTTAATATAGATCACTATTTCATTAATGTATGACACACACTGACCCTTTTTAGATATGAGATAAGAGAACCTTTTGTTCATCCCACAGTGGAGAAATGTCTAATGCAACACACACTTCAGAATAGAAATATGAGGAACCCTCAGAACAGGATGAGTAGCGGCAAATATTCTTTAGAGAACAACTCATTGATATGCTTGAATAATCTTTAGCTATACCACATCCAACTCAATTTAGGAAAATGCATGCAAGTAGACTTTATTCTAGAATTTAACTAGCTTCACCATCGCTCAACCCTGAAAACCGCCTGGAAAACCGTCCCAAGAAAGACCTTTTATTTGTCACATAGTGGGGAAATTTCAGTGTTTTATCACATCAAGTTCTAAAACAGTAGGAATGAGGAGCACACAGCACAAGATAAATGAACAATAACTTTATACTAAAATAATCGCTAACTCTAGCATAAACAGAAGCGGTATAACATCTGTATCTTTACCATAATAAGGAAAGAAGTCCTAAAATCTCCAACTTCAGCATGATGAAGAAGCAAGACTTAAGTGCAAAAAACCCTGACTTTAGTATAATCAAGAGCAAGTATAAAATGCTGTGTATATTCTTGTGAAAATATGTAGTTGTGCATCTGTACATGTCAGCAGTGTGAGGGTGTGGGACAAAGTGATTCAGTGAAGCGACAGTAACACATGTGGTTCTACATTGTACATTATTAGTTATTATTGCACTAATGAGTAAGGTTAAGCAACAGTAGCACATGTGGTCCATATTGCACACTCCTTTGTTCAAGATATTGCACCGACGCATGACATGTGAGGTCAGGTCGGCAGTGTTTGTTAATCCTCATTGTTCGTTGCACAGTCCGACAGCAACAAGGAGTTACGCATGGTGACGGTGACTGTTGTGTGCCACAGGTGATGTCCTTTATGAACTTCTGCAGCACATTTTGAAGCAGAGGAAGCCCCATGCGTTCTTCCCTTCAGCCTACTACCCGGGGAGCTCCTTCCACCTGCAGCCGGACAGTGTTGCAGTCCCCCACATGAAGCTGGAGGGTACGTTGTCTCAAGCCAAGCAAAATGGCAAATGCGTTTTCTGCCACAATATCAAAAATAATACTACATCATACAATACACTCTTTGTTTATCTCTGGAAATAAAAGTCATTAAGACAAATGTACAAATGACGTACCTTGTTGGTGTAAAACCTGTTCCAAAAGGATTACCAAGCTCAATCGGTGTTTGTGTTTGTATAGCGCAAACACCTACAACAATCATAGCTTTTGATTTTAGTGACACCTAGTGGACATGAAGAGAAACTAAAAACTCTAACCGTAACCATAAACATAGTGGGACAGCTGTGATCCTACTCTATAGATTCGCATACATGCAGCTGAAATCTGAAATGGTCAATTTTAAAAATAATCATATTAAGCTGTGCATATGGTTGAGAGTTTTTATTTATACTCTTCTCATTTCTACTTGCGTTATTTTTATTTTTATCTTCTTATGATGTGAATGTTTCCTTGTACCTGAAGAAAGCCTATGCAGACATACAAACTGTTCACAGAATGTGGAAGCTAAATCAAACCCAGTACCTGCTTTCTGTAAAAAGCAACGTTTAATGTTTTCTTGTATGATTGAATGTTTACTTGTGTGGCTTTAATTTATTGTTGTTTGAAGCACTTTGAGTTGCCTTGTGTATGAATTGGGCAATACAAATGCCTTGCCTTGCCTTAACCGCTTTGAGTATTTTATTCTAACAGTCAAAATGTTATATGATCGCAGAGACGGTACGAAGGACATCCAGAGGCCCTGAGCCCATTACCCAGCACACGCCGACCATCGAGCTGCGACACCGATCGCGCTCTCCCCACCAGCCTGCCCCCAGACAGTCTTCCCCGGAGCAGATTCCCCGCATCACCAGTGAGGACCACATGCAGTCCTACTCCCAGCTACCGGATAGCAACCACCACCTTCTCGAAGACCAATATCCACTATCCGTATCTCCCGCCGCCCCCAACGGTCGCTGTCCCACCCCTAAAGAGGCTTCCTGCCCTGGGAGCCCGGGCCCTCAGGAGGCTGGTCCTCCACGGGTCATCCAGCTCATGCCCAGTGCTATCATGAACCCTCTACTGCTCAGCCCCAATAGAGTGGGGATGGACTTCAGACATGGGCGTGCGGGACCCCCCTCTCAGGTCAAAATGGAGAATGGCCGGGACAGTAAGGTCCACGGGATGCTCCACTCACTTGCCTCGCAGCAGCAACCGCACCTTATAAAACAGGAGGATGTACTGTACAGAAACATCATCATGCCTGTGTCCCCTCCAGAAGAGCAGCAGATGCCCATAGGACGGATAGCAGGTGAGAGCACTGACCACACTGGTGCTTATAACTGTACAATTCCAGGATAGAATATGAGCAGAATATCGCAATCAAATTGAAATTTAAATGTGCAAAATCCTTAATATTACTTAAGTTATTTGAAAAAAGGGGACTAAAGATGAGTAAAAACAGGATCAGTTTTCTTGATTTAAGTATTATTATTTTCTCATTCCAAAAGAGACATCTCATCTTTCCAATATGTGTGGCACAAGTCAAGTCTGATTCAAATAATTTTGTGAGTAAAGATATAAACCAATCAATTCAAATTATTGTGTATATACTCCGGTTCTTAACAGGTTTACTGTTTAAGCAGTTTCTGAAATGTGTGGCAATTGTGTATGCGGCAATCGCTTCCTATGCACGCTTTATCAAATTGAATTTGTTATTTTCACCCCTGTATACTTCTTAAACATCCAGTATATCAAAAAATGCCATATTGGTCAGAAATACTGTTACTATATATCTTGCCAATATCCTGCAGCCCTTTTTAGTCTGTACTGACCAAAACTAAAAACTGATATTTGAGGTGTCAGATATAAACAATTATCTATGATTTGTTTACGCTGGTTATAATACATTATCCCCTTAGACTGTAGACTACTTTGGGACTATGTCTACCAGCTGTTGTCCGACAGTCGGTACGAGAACTACATCCGCTGGGAGGATCCTGAGAGCAAAGTCTTCCGTATCATGGACCCCAACGGCCTGGCCAGGCTCTGGGGAAATCACAAAGTAAGTCCGCTGCTTATTTGATCAGAAGAATACAATACTTGCTCAAGACGGAGAGAATCCTTGTGTACAGTAATACCATTTTACGTTTCCATTCATGAACTATTATGTCTGCATTTTACAGAACAGGACCAACATGACGTACGAAAAGATGTCTAGAGCACTGAGACACTACTACAAACTCAACATTATCAGGAAAGAGCCCGGACAGAGACTTCTGTTTAGGTATGTCACTGTTTCATTCCTAGTAATACAACTAGCTAAAGAAGATGACTAATGGGGGCTTTGTGCTCTGTATGCTTGTATTTTTAGGTTTATGAAGACTCCAGATGAGATTATGAATGGCCAGGCTGAGCGCTTGGAGCATCTCGAGTCCGACATGGATGAAAGTGTTTACATCAAAGAGGAGTGTGAAACAAATGTTGGACATAACATGAACTAATTTTGGGCCAGTTTTGAGCCAGTTGAGTCCAGCCGCAATGCCTTCAGACGCTGCATGGACAATCGTGGGGCAGGGGTACTTCCTTGGGTCCCTAGCAAAATACAGTCTTTTCCATTGGATCATATTGCTAAAGACTTCAACATCCTCCCCTTCTGCAAACAGAAAATCAGCTTCACTTCACTGTAATGATTTTGGGTTCTCATGTGAATTCTTTGTTTTTTTTCCTATTCATAAAAAATTGTTCTTGTGTGACTAGAATATTTTCACACAAATAAACGTTTTGGATAAATACATATTTTTGAAATGCAGTCATTTGTCAAAAGCAGTCAAAATGATTTTCTTGACCCTTTTTGAGTAAATGGTTGTTTATTACTCCTAGTCCAGGCACCACTTAAATTGGCCAAAATAGGCAAAACACACACTATATATATGTATATATTTCCTGCTGCTTTGATTACTCCTCTGAGCGGCCATAGAGTTATGCAGTGGTTGTCTGGAGTTACTCAGGATGCCCTGAGTCCACACTTCTCCCCGTCACAGAAACATATTTCTTGATTAATCTGTAGAGCCGATTACTGTCTCTCGAGGTCAGACTGCCGCTCCAATACGCGACCCCAGAGAACACGGCACATACAGACTGGTGAAATATGTGCCACATCCTGAAGATCTCAGCCTTCGCAGGGAGTAGAGTCAGAGCTGACCTTTCTTATACACAGCATTGGCCTGTGCCAGTCCAGGTGGACTCCCATGTCCCATGTAACCTCTTCAATGTGCTGTCTGCACGGCTCTTGTGAAAGTCATTGATCCTCTTCTTGGTCTTGAAGGCGTTTTCTCGCTCCAGTCTGAGAAAGCAGCCACCTGCATTCTGATTCATTACATTGGCATGTGTGAAGAGAGGGGATCTCCCTTCACACATGCCACAATTTTCACCGCTTTAATGAGTCACACCACTAAATTACTTCAATCCATACATTACTGTGATGCATTACAAAAGTAACTAGTTACTCCCAACACTTTAAAACAACGAAACGGAATTTGATAGAACGTTGTAGTGTGTGACACTTGGGGGAATAGCCACTAGATGGCGGTGCTGTATAATCTTTGATGATCAAATTATTGTTCTGGTAAACTCATACTGTGTAGGATTAATCCCACCTAGTTGCGCTAGAAGTAATTCATTCAACACAATATTTGTTTGTAAAACAATGCATACGATTTTTGATTTATTTTCAATATCATCATAGTCATGTTGTATTGGAAAGGGAAACTATTAGTTTTTATCTTAAAATAAATGATGCATGTGCAACAAGCAAACACTATTTCGTTGATCGTTTGCAAAGACAACGAGGTGGTCCCGTGACGTGCACAGCGGTGAGGAGGCTGTGCAGAGACTCCATAAAGTTGGTGCGCTCAGAGAGGAGCTGTCAGAGAGAGGAGAGACGCGGAGGTGCACGCACTGCTCTGACTCCGGTGAGACACGAGTGTGGCTGAAGCGGGAGGAGCACGTCAAGCACCGGGAGTACTGACACCCACAGACTGTCCACCACTGCCCCGGGTCCCCACTGCATCAGGTGGGAGAAGCCCACTAGGAGCCACAACTGATGCCACTGACGAATCACGACCAGACCCCGCTTTATCAAAGAGGACCGCTGTTTTCCCCGACCCAACGCGCCCATGTGGGCTCACCCGTGGATTGGAGCGCTCTGCAAAGGCGATAAAAAGGCGTGAAAGAGCGGCAAGGGAGTGGGACGCCTACAGGTAAGCATTTCCACGTGCCTCCAGTCTATCAATGCATGACCCCTAACTGTAGTTTGTGCACAATGGTGACACTCTCTAGGTGCGTTATAAGGCTGTACTTTTAAAAAAATAATAAGTACAACAAAATATGCTGTTTGTGCAGTTTATTCTTGCATCACATTCCTTCATATATTATTCCTATTCCTACTTGCCCATACACGTGCAGTAACCCTTTAGATATAGTGTATTAAATAAGAATATGATTATATACTATACTATCATTACTTTGAATTAATAAATTATCATATACATTTGGGGGCCTAGTGGCTTTATTGTTCTCTTGTCAATCATATATGCTTATAGTGAATAGAATAGAATACATGTCAGGATTAGTTGAAAGCTATTCTGTGCATGTCTTTATATTTGCAGAACCGTTTGGAAAGATATGACTTTTTTTAGTTGCCTGTATTGTCAGAGAGACGTACGCAGAAGCTGGTGGAAGTGAGCTCATTTTAATAGTGATTTATCGACGTGCCCTGGTGCCTTGGGCCTGAAGCCAGTCCTTATCCTGCTCATGATGAAACATGCTGACAGACACTGAGCCACTCACCTGCAACATCACTGCCCATGAGAGTGAAGCCCAGTGCGATGCAGTAGTGTGTGAATACCCGCAGTCACTGGACACTTGACCAGTTCAATTCAATGAAATTATTTTTTTGTTCAGCCCTAAATCACAACAGTGGTTATCTCAAAGAACATTACAAAACCGTTAAATTCATCAACACAGATCAGAGAATCAAACAGTTCGAACAGAAGAAATGCAATTATAAATACAAAAAAACACACATCAGGACTGCATCATTTGTACATAAAATAATGATCAATGTCAATAAGTGTTGATCGAGTCCATAGATGTCGTTAAATGTTGAGTGTCCTGGATCGTCACCACTGTCCTTGGACCACTTAACAATTATAAACACAACTAATAGATTAAATGCAGGGCAGGCTAATACTTCCCTTTAAATAATGCCTTACTGTTCTTTGAGCAATAGATTGCTTTGACATTGTATAGTCATAGAAATGTTGCCACATTGGCTAAAATTATCAGAAAGTTTAGTCATTTAAATGGAAATCAATCAAGATGTTTTATTTTTTTCTTTAAAAATCAATCATGTCATATAAATGTTGCCATTCCAAATATATGATCCAGTAAATATGCTGTTATTTCATCAAAACACCTTCTCCTCAATTCAGATGCCTCCTAATCTATATGTACTACATTGTTCAATAGAGGTACATTTTTTCAGACAAAGTGTAGAGATAATGAAACAACATGGAGTCTAAGCAAAATTGTTTCTGCATCAAATTCATGTGGTTCACTTTGGCTCATGTACCTGTCTGCACATATTCTGAAAGGTTGAAATATAACAAAAAGAAACGGTCCAAATAGTTCCTAATTTTTTTTCCCTCAAAGACGTCAAGCAGATTTTAATACTTCGAGCTACACAATTACATCTCCCTTTTCTGACAGCATTTCAATTCCAGTCTGAATGTGTTTCCTTCAACCAATGCAGCAAACTGTGCGGTTTAGCGATGGCCGTTCTCACACATGTCTTGCCGTATGTACAATGAATTATGGTCTGAAAACTTTATTTTCCACATTGATACATCCAGAGAGAAGTGTCATGATGAATGCACTCTGTTTACATGCCAGAGAAAATGAACCTGTCCAATTTAAATCATGAATTAAAAATGCATGTAGTTCACATACAGAGGTATCTTTGATCAACTTTAATCAGGAAACAACCATTTGCGAATCGTGACATCATTTTTGTCTAATTATGAGGGTTATTAGTTGATAACAACAATCTGACTTTGTACATATGAATACACTATCTAATATCCAAACTTCAGACCTAATTATTTATCGATTCAACTGTTTAACCTAAAAGAGTCAAAAAGATGTTTGTAGAAAATGTAGTTATTGAGTGTTTTACAGTATGGCATAATGGAATTAAAATATCTATCTACAGTGTAGGCTGATAGATATCCCACTGTTGAGTGTAACACACATCTTGTTCCATTTCATACATGTGCTACCGCCCTCTGGGGCTCTGTGGTGTCCTCAATCACTGCGGCCCCCATTGTCAGTCCTGGTTAAGCTCTTGTTTTGATTTTTTTGTGACTGTCTTTTTCTGCCTGCTTGGACCGACCACAATGGTGCTCTCTGATTGGTTGATGCACATCTCTTTGGCTAAAAATTTGAGAAATGTCCATCTTGTTGTCGCCGGGCGATGAGCTGCTGTCAACCTACTGTACATGCTGCACAACGCATGTACGATTATGTGCACTGGCATGCAACATTGTCAGTGCATGTACACCTGCTGTACCACTTTGTCCGGTGGGAATGGGGCTTATACCTATCGGCTATTAAAGCACTGTTCTTCCCTCCGTCCAGGAGGTTATGTGATCCTCAGCGTTTGTCTGTTTGTGAGCCACATAACTGAAAACTTCGGGTTGGAGTTTGACATAATTTTCAGGAAACCTGCTCAATGTCATAAAGTGATTGATTGAAGTCTGCGCTCTACAAATTCTGTTATCCGGAAGTTTCTTGTTCCAAATATTTTTGACTTCGAATTGAAGTCAATTTTGAATTGATGATAGAGTGGAGCTCACAGCATTACAATGTTTTTTGGTCATCATTACACTGGTTTGTTATGTCAAAGAAGTTGGATCAATGCTTCCCAATTATTGCACTTAAGTAACTCTAAAGTAGACAGTACACTTTGTTAATTGCTGTGAACCAAAGAGAGGAACACCTCTTCACTGTGTACTCTGCACTGGGGTCAGAGAGCCTCATTAGCTGGTGTTGTTTGCTTCTAAAGTGTAAAAACAGAACAAAATATATTGTGTGTGGGGGAAAGTGTTTATTCAAAAAATACAAAATGTAAAAAAAAATGTTCTTTGCAGTTTTGTAGTCTTACTTAGTCTCTTTTGTGATCACCTGTTTTCTGATTTGTCATTTCTCACACAAGTGACATACAGTGTGTACAACTCGAATACTCTCTGAAAATGTTGGGGTAGTAGCGCAGTGCCTGTGTGTATTCAGCGCAGCTACCATTCAGATATTTTTACAGGTGTGAAGAAAGACTCTGTACCTGAGGAGAGAGGTTTGTGCTCCATGTCGATCGGTTGTCACCCCACAGCTATCACAGTTTCACAAAGCGTTGCATGTTGGTTCCGTATTCCTATAGGATAAGCTC